TGGGAGAAAAAGTAATACAACGTTTTAGATAAGATGGTTGAAATTTATGCTATTAAACAGAAATAGTCACACTTAAATTAAAATCACAATTGTTTTCAGAATGACTGCATCCTCAAACCCTTTCTTAGTCCACTGTGAACTCTTCTTAATGTAGCTCTACAGCTCTTATTTAAGCAATCTTTCCTTTATACCAGCACCGAAAACAATAAAAGCAAAGTGGATTATAATAAAGCAGGGATTTCTTTCATATATGAATGTGTACATTCATTGGCTTTGTGGTCACCCTGACAAACTCTTGAACTTCACAGTGCAGCTGCCTGGGAGCAGCATCATATCTCTGCTATACACAATGACTTTTGGAGATGTTTTTAGGCATTGCTATATAAAGCTTTGAACATTCTGGCACAGTCATTACATAAGTGAGTCAGCTGAGACTGAATCACCCTGATATGTGCAACTGAACTGAATGAATCTACCTTTTGTGTTTGGGATATTGTTGCAATGTTACTTATGTACTTATTTGGGGTGGTGGTGGTGAGATTTCAATCTTTAATAAGAATAAATCAAAATTACAAAGTTTTATTCTTTGACTTTTTCTTTTTTTCTTGACAGGAAAAAGATTTACACTTAAATCTCACGGTGCGTGTCTGAGTGACGAACACAGTGCCAGCCTGTGGGAGGGCTTCATATACATTGCTGTGCACCAGCTTTTCTCCTTTGTGAATGCAGAAACACAGAGCTGTTCTAACTTGAGGTGGCTTCTCCTAGACTGCTAATCACACTTCCTTTCCACCTACAGGACTTGGAAGGATTGGTATAGAATCATCTAAATTAACCTTATGCGATCAAAGAATTTCTCCAAGGGAGTCATCCCTTGTTTCACTACCAGGAGCAAATCCACAATCCTCTGGTGCCTCTTCCCAGTCACAAAAAAGAATACCAGTATGGATCCATGCACAGCTTTCACAAATAACACTACAGAAATCTGCTAGAATGGAAACTACTCATACAGTGTATAATTATTTTTTCAGTAGTCTCTAGAATTGTTTCTCCTCATACATTTAACTCTCATTTTCTCATACATTCCTCATCATGGTTATTAGGCTTTAAGATACTCCTGACAAAAATATAAAGGGCAATACTCCTTACTGGCATCAAATTGTGTTTAGATTTTTTTGAGTTAGTAGGTAATGTACCAGTAAAAGAATAATGAATTCCTGAAGGAGTGAGCACAAAAGCAAGCATACATTTGTCTGAGAAAGTGAAAAGTTTGACTAAACAACATGTTTACTAAACAACATGTTTACGAATCATGCTGTCATCCAACTCAATCAGTAGCTTTTTTTCATGTTGCTTACTAAATGCCATGCAAATTAAGACAGGGATGGGATACACAGCTCCAAAACTAACTGATAATGGCTTGGAGAATTTTGTCCCATTAATTCAGGTTTTTGGTAATAAGGTACAATTATCATAATGTAAAATGCTTTAGATTTACAGACTCTCTGGGCTCTTTATATCCTGTATCATATTCCTGCAAAGATACCTCTTGTGACTGGATATGGAGTAACATATCAAGGTGGACTATGTAAAAATTGTGTATGTCTTGTAAAATTTACTTGTAGTTTTTTGTAAGTATCAAGTCATAATTTTATAATAGAATTAGTGACATCATCCAGCAAGAGTGTTATATCAATTATTGGAAATCCAGTTCAAAGACAGTATTAAATAGTATGAAATACCCTATGATCTGGGGCAAACTTCTGTTTCTTTACAGTCAAACAAAATCCAATTAAGTAAGATAAAGAGAAATGCTGCTTCCAATAACAATAACAAAAAATGTTTTGAAGGTTGAAAATATAATATAGATCTCAGAGATCATCTAGTTCCAATCCCCCTGTCATAGGCAGGGACACCTTCTTCCTAATATCTAAACTAAACCTTCCCTCTCTCAGTTTAAAACCATTCCCCTTGTCCTGTCACCACATGCTTTTGCGAAAAGTCCCTCTCCAGCTTTCTTGTACCCCCCTTTAGGTACTGGAAAGCTGCAATAAGCTCTTCCTAGAGTCTTCTCTTCTCCAGGCTGAACAACCCCAACCCTCTCAGTCTGTCTTCATAGGAGAGGTGCTCCAGTCTTCTGACAGTCTTCATGGTCCTCCTCTAGACTATGAATATCTTCTCAACTTTATGTCCTTATATACTAGTTCATATGGAATAAGAAGCAGAAGTGTCAAAGGAAAACTTGTTGATGTGGTACTTTCTGCTGAGTTGAAACAGGTACTACTGAAAATATAATCCTATCCAAAATAGGTTTCATGCCATTTATACCTCTAGTATGTAGGTGCTCTGACAATCTAGATAAGGTTCGGTCTAGTATTTCAGGACTGCTTTCACAACATTCACTGGAAGTTTTTGAACATTATTTATTTATGAGTCCAAGAAAGAAGAGGAAGATACCTAAGGAAAGCATCTTGTCCATTTTCCTCTGTTATGGGAATCAAGCATATTTAAAGAAAGCAAGGATGAAGGAAAACTTTGAACTTTAATAGTTACACTGCAACACTGCCTTCCCTGAATTTAGAAAGTTTCCTCACTGAATAACTTTGCCACTAATTCAGTTGGTTTCATTCTCCCCACTGAGCTTGGAAAATAAATCTTCATCAGAGTCGTACTGACTTTTGTCTTTTGAAAGCAAAACAAAATGAACTGGTGCCTTCAGCTTCCTCACAGAGCAGATCTTTAAATTCCCTGTCCTTGTTCTTTGATCTGTCTCTATTTGAGCTCATCTTTCGGTATGGCACTTCTATTAGAAAACAGCACTCCAGTTGTCATCCATTGCTGGATAAAACACCAATTACTTTCACCCTTTTCCTTATCATTCACAAATAGGATCACTACATTTCTTTATTTTGTTACATCTAATGTATTTCTAAACCCTTTTGTTTTGTTAAATTTCTCACACCTTGCTAGTTGCATCTAGTTGTTTCTGCTTTTATGCCTGGTTTCCTGTTTCTTCCACACTGGTATACCCTATGACTTATGCTTATAGTAATCTTCTCTTGTTTTCAAGTTTTTGTGGGTTTTGACTTCTTAGATTGTTAGACAGCTTCATTAGTCTATAACATGTGTCCTACTTTTCCTCTGTATTGGGATAGACTGCAATTTCCTTTCAATACAAACTTTTCAAGAAACAGTCTTCCCACACAGCTGAATCTCTTAAATTATCTGCTCAAAAGACCACATCTACCAGCCCTTGAGGTTGAAGTGGCTTCATCTTCTCAGCCATTTTGCTGCATTCACTTCTTTTTCAGGGAAAAGTGAGTGCTCACGTTCTAGTGACTGAAGATCTTCACCGAGATTTCCTTTTGTTTTCTCTTAAAGCCACAACTCTTTGTTGGTATAGCATTAGATTTCATTCTCATACATGTAAAAGCTGAAGATTAGAAGAGGGTTTTCCAGATCCTTGTCTTGCTGCCAGGCACACAAATGATGAAAATGAACACTCAGAGTAAAGGAAGATAAGGTCCTAAACCACACTTCAGAGGTAACACAATGCCTTAATAACATTAATATACTAAGTATACAATCATAACAACCACACAGTTTAGTTACAGCCACATACCAAGAAGAGGAAAACAATTCATTAAGGAGAGCAAATACCAATATGGCACTCCAAGCACCTTGTCCTTCCAATATCGGAGCCCTCAGAAAGCTGGGAAGCTTCTGCTGGCTTGACTCATAACACTCTTATAAAGACATGATCATTCCTGTCATTCTGTTTGTTTTAAGGAAATGGTCCTCTTGCAGCTACTCAGACCTGTAAGCACCGTGTTGTTTTCCACGGTCTACCTTTTTTTTTCTGGAGGGAAAGGACTACTGTAACACTCTCTCTTTCTCACTAAAAAAATGATATTTTTTTTCACACTGTAAGTAATATTAAAGCTTAAAAATGTAACTTCAGGTTTGATGACACATTATTATATGAAAGCCACAGTATTAAAATACCAATGCCCAGTGGAGGAAGAATTTGGGTAATCTGATGCTATCACAAACTTTATAGAATGAAATTTCATTTAGCTCAGCTTATTTTTACAAGTGCGGCACATAGCTGCATCTGACTTGTAACAATGCTTCCAGAAAGAAAACATTTCATAGTTCTGCCTTAACTTTCCTGGGATAATTATACTCCATCATGTGAACGCAGTATGGCAAGGGAATATTATTTCCTTCAACCTTACAAAATGAAAGACTTCAACAGACCCCATAGGAACCTTCTCCCATTTCATTCACCATGTGAGATGACTAGCTACACAGTACACACACATATTTGCCATTTAACAGTTATCTGATCAGTCACTGAATACAACAGTAAAATTAAGCTTTACATTTTGCTCGTAACAAGGCTAAGTATCACTAGAAACATCTGAAAAGCTGACAAAATCCTGACAGGATAGGGGGCAGGGAGAGGGAGTGAGAAATTTCAGCTCATTTACTCTAGTTCTGGTGAAATAAAGACACACCTAAATTAGGAATACCTTAAATTACAAAAGACCAATAAGGATGCTGTAATGTGATGCCTCTTTGTCATCAAGCAAAATTACATCAACAGTAATTCCAGTGCCAAGACACCTAACTTGTTTTAAACATTAGCACCCAAAATAACCAGTCTTAAAAGGTCATGTTTATTTAAAAATAGCTTGCTTGCATTTCACATTAAAGTTAATTTACTAACCTTAAAAAAATTAAATGCAAATGTATACAAATAATTTAAGGATCCTGTCAAAGTTCACATACATGCTGCTAGAGCAATGAAATTATTCAAGGTCATATGAAATCTTTTTTAACCATGTACCATCCTGTGGATTATTCTACTAAATAGACATACTGAACTAAAGTGCTTGAACCTTCTCTTTAGCAATTTCTATCCTTTTTAAAAATTAAACCTCTGATTTCCTATTTATAATGTGTTTTTCAGGCCATAACAAAGAAACATACTGTACCTCTGGTGCTGATGGCTGTTGCCGATGTGGTTGTGCTGGTTGTTAAGGCTACAGTGGTTGTGACTGTTGCAGTGGTAAGGGAGGGGATGACAGTAGTGGGAAGCAAAGTGTTGAAAACATCTGGTGAGTGGAAAAAAAATATAAAATAAAATCATATCATGCAAACAAAAGAGAACCATAACAGTGGTTTAATTTGTAAATACAAGTATGTCGAAAATGACTAAATTAAAACATGATTAACACAAATTAATACAGGTACAACAGAGTACCTTAAATTCTTGACATTATATCACTCTCAATTTTTTGAGCATAAAGAATTTAAAACACTGTTAAAATGACCGAGTTTCCACAGATCTGGAGAGTGACTGTTTTAAGTGACAAGAATCCATTTCTTCACTGAGCCATTTTAAATGTCTCATACACTAGAAACCATATACGGATGAAACATGCTGTGTCAGAGTGGGAGATGAATAAAACACAACACCATCATGCTAAAATAAACACACACATGTTAACGAGAAATGGCTGTATGTTAAAACACCCACTTTCAGACAGACTCAATGGAAGGAAAAAGGGGAGAAAATGCTACTAACTATAAGAGCTGCTTTTTCCGGATTGCTTTTCTTCTTCCCACACATTTGTTTAAGACACAGTTTTCTGCTAAGATCCAGAGCAGAGTATATTTCAAAATCTTTACCCTAAGTAGCAGGCACAATCATCTTTCAGTCATCCTTCACGCTTAAAATTTATTCATAATACACACATCAGTATTTCTCTAAACCAGTTTAGAACTAAAAACCAGAAACGCCAATAATACCACTCTTAACCCCTCCCTGCAAATGAGTCAGAAGGAATGCACAGCCCTGATACCAGCACCATAAAAGCCCTTTCAGCTTTTGATCAGGTAAGTGCAGGTATGACAAGCTCCGGTGTGCGGCGTCTTCTTTGCAGAAAAAACAATGTCTGTTGCAAAATGCTCCAGTACATAGCAGAACATAACCAGATGTACAGATTGAAAATGTTTTGATTACACTGCCAAAAGCCATAAAGACCAGTATCACTTTGCTTATAAGGTGATTGCAGGTTTTAAAGAATAAACAAAAGCCCCAAAGAGAACTAGGGAAAAGCACCTCCATAAGGACATAAAAAGTATCTGACATTTTTCAGATTATTTATACTGTAGGTTTAAAAGGAAAGAACTAGTTTCCCAGCAGTGGATGATGACTAACTCATTCCACACTGATTTCAGTGAAAATATTTCTGAAGGGTGCTATTCAATGCAATAAAAGAGCAAAAATCGGACCCACGATCTGTCTTCCCTTGCTGTGGAAAGAAATGCAATTGGTCTCTGAGTACCATCAATTCTGACTGAAATCAATGGAAGCTGAAGTAGCTCATGAGCTTTACAGTGTTGGGTCCTACAGAACACATTTCAGACACAGGGTCCTTGAGTTGAGCATTACTCTCAAGGCTTCAAATTAGCATGCTTACCTTATTTGCATATTGGATGACAGATTATTTTGCCACTTTAAAAGTCTCCTTGTCGGTTAACATCTGAGTCACCTACAATTTTCTGTATTCCTCTGGTTTTGAAAAACGCCCGCACTATTTTCTGTGCAATCTATACCTGGGGGATTTTCAAAGCCATCAGAAAATGGCAGGAGATCCCTCTTTCAATTGCTGTATACTGATATTTAATCTGTTTCTCAGTACAAAATAATCCCAAAATAGAAAAATTGGAACAGGCTTAAAAAAAACCCCACCATGTAGCCACATTAATCACCAGGAAAAATGGTAACATTACCTGGAGTGCGAGTACCACAATAATTAAAAAGAACTGAGTATAACAAGCATTAGAAATAAATTAACATGTCAAAAAGATACATGTCACATGTACTGATCTATGCAATTGCTTCTCATAAAGGGAAACTGCTTCCCTGGTATCTGCTGCAAATGAAATCAAACAGAAAAAATCCACCTACTTCATGAGGAGAGCAAAGCCTTGTTTATTAGGAAAGCTTGACAAATCAGTCTTGTACGTAGAACCTAATGAGTGTGACCTATGGTTCCATTAATTATCTTTCTTAAATATATCATTTACTTCATGCAATGGCAAGTTAACTGCAACTGGCAAGTACAGTTATGGTTTATGACAGTGCTTTCCATTCTGTGAACACACCGTCTACTTACTTTACCACATAATAGCTTCAATGAGTCACTGGTGAATTTACAAGTTCACTGCTTTCTGGTTTCTCTTCTGATTGAAGTATTTCCAACAGGATTTCTTATTTTAAAAGAAAGGCTACCTAGGAAACAGACTACTTAACAAGACCTAGGATACATCAGTGTTTTAAAACAGATGTGACAGATATCACCATTCTTGATATGACCAGAAAAAAAATTAAACTTGTACAGAAATTAGTTTCCTAGTCAAAGTCACAAACTCCTAATGCCAAACATCAAAATGGCAGCTAGTCAGAAGCCTCAAAGAAACATGTATGTTCTCAAAAGAAACGTAAATACAATCAATAGCTTTGGCTTTGCTTCTTTCTTAGCAGAGTAAGGTAAAATTCACCATGCAAATGACTGCAGTTGGTCTGCTTTGCTCACAGCATTACAATTACTTGCCCTCAAAGACTACAGTACAAGATAGCAACCAGGAATCAACAGCCTGAAGAGCACTGCACTGCTCAAGCAATGAAATCTATGTCTGTCCCAGACTCTGGAAATGCCTGGTTCACATCTGCCCAGGCATTTCTTTTGTGACATTAGAGTGTGCAACAAGTAAAGAAGAACAGCTCACAAGTCTTGGACCATATCCCATCCATAAATCCTGTTTCAGACAGCCCAAATCCAGGCACAGATCAGCATTCTGAAAAGCACCAAGCCACACATTCAACAGACTTACATGTATAGGGCACTCCAGTCCTACAGAGTTTGACAGACTCTTCATCAGTTCTTCCAATATTTATGGATTCTAATGAAAACTTTACTTGTCTTTGCCTTGAAAATGCTTTTGCATAACAGAATGCAGAATGCAGAATATGCATGTTCCAAAAAAGAGCAGTAATGTGCAGTGCCCTTCATTCTCTCATGTAGGTTTAGGAGGTAAGCAGGTTTGGCAGTTCCCAAAATCAGACAGACTACAATTATAAACTGATCTCAACAGCATAGGCTCTGCTTAAGACATATGAATTAATGTGTTTTAAAAAGAGGGTGTGCTGTTTCATCTGCATGCCAGAAAAGGGAATTACAGCTGTCCTGTAGGACTTCTTGGTCACTATTTTTCCTACAGAGCACACCTATCTTATACTACTGGTGAGGCATATGTTACAATATCCAGAGTTCCCTGTTGGCAGCCACTCAGACATGCTATAAAAGGGACTACGTAGACTTGTCCTCTTGAGCTCTCTTTCAAGAAGGATCTTAAAAGAATGGATTTACAGACTTCTGCCCGAGAAACCTGTGTTGGAGTGAAACTTAATTCCTTTTCTGGCCTTGCAATTTCTGAACCTAGTTGCACACATTCATATGAAAACAAATTTTTGTTTATGACACTCACACCACTAAATACCAAAGATCATTATGAGCAAGAGACCTTGTGGAGTGGAACTTTTTAATTCAAGTAGCCATACCCAGATCAATGCACCAGGCTGCTATTTCAGTAATACTAAGGTATTAATCCTTAGCCTCCTGTGAAGCAGAAAATAGCTCTATTTTGCAGATGGGGAACCAAAGAAGGTAGAAAAGCCATGTTCAGATACCTGTAAGTCAAAGTTTTAATTTGAAACCTCACTCCTAAAAATGAACTTTTGCTGACAGACAAAGATTCAGTCAAAAATTCAATAATGTTCTTAAGGTTGGTATTCATTTCATCACTTTCATAACCTCTGAAATACAAACGATGCACGGAGAACTGTTTCCAAAAGAGTTGTTGGAAATAGCAAAGGGGTCACACTTCATCCCAAATATTTTCCATGCTATGTTCCCACAAGTTATACAGGTAAGACCTGAATTGGATTTTCAATGAAAGAGATGGGTTCCTAGACTCTCTCTAGTGGCACGGGGGCGGGGAGGTCGGTCTGAGCTGACATACAAACGCTCAGCCAAGAACTCTCTTTTCAGTGAGGACCAGATGTGATGTCACAGTTCAGGGTGCAGAAACAAGTATGGCAGAAGGTTCCAGAAAGGCATTCCTCATGGCCACTCCTGTCTGTTAGCATGCCACCAAGCACTGGCAAGGTGAAGGCAGACAGCAGGTAATCTGATGGCTGATCGTGAGCGGACAGTGGATAAAGGAGGAGCATGTAATGCTTGGCTAGGTCTGGAGGCTGCTCTTTAGCAGAGGCACAGATGTAACCTGTTTATGGGTGGCGGAATAGTAGGTACAAGATCATTTCAAAACACTGACAAGCCCTGCCTGATCAAAATTTCCTGTTCGCCTCTCCTTCTTTCTTGAATTGACACCACATTCTTCTTACTAAGGCAGAAGACATTCATCCATTTAAGTGCAGGGAGCCTGGAAAATTTACTCTCACTGCCGATTTGGCCCTAAGCATTTGCATTTTTACTCCCCATTTCCAAAGAAATGAGAAATGGTTCTGTTTGGTTTAGCTGGCTTATGTGAAAGATAGATCTGACCTATTGCAAATATTTGACTTGTTTGGTAAAAACACAACCGATATTCTGAAATGACTGAGCACAAGTCGGGTAACAATAGCTGCAGTTGATAATAATGTAAAGGCTTTTGTTTCAAGCTTGACAAAGGCTGACAGAAAAATTAAAGGACAATGTGATAATGATGGATGGCCCTTGCTGTATTTTGACTGAGAATGAAAGAAATTTTAAGTGGTAAACTGAACTGAGTGATGACCTACCTGGGAAACAATCTCACTACTCTGTGCAAAATTTAATCAGTCTGTGGCATGTAGTACTAAATAATTTAGCAAGGTTTTAAATTCAAAGGGAGCTGCACATTTAGCCTTGCTCCAAGAAAATGGAACTGAACAAAAGGATCATTGGACTTGAATATCATGTGCCAATAGCTCTTTAGCACTTAGACTAAGGCTCACGGACATGAGGTCAAGGGGTTCTTTTTACTAATTGAGTCAGATTTATGA